AATAAATAAATAAATACAAGAAAACACGAAGAAAGTTAAGAAAAACAATAAGTTTCATCTATTGCGCTTAAGCTGCAAGTAAACAGAACTCATTAGATCAGTTCAAAATGAAGAATAAAACAAAGAAAAATGTAAAAAAAAGGGGGGGGGGAAATAATAAGTAAAAAAATAACAAACAACAGTTTAAAAAAAAGAAAAAAGGGATGAAATTTTATTTAAAAAACCGGGAAAAAAACCGGAAAAAAGAGATATAACCTTTTTATCAGAAAGCACTCTGTTTTGCGGATATAATCGTGTGGGCTGATGAGAAGATTATATCTCTTTTTTTCCGGTTTTTTTTCAAGGTTTTTTAAATAAAATTTCATCCTTTTTCTTATTTTTTTAAACTGTTGATTGTGTTTTTTTTACCTATTATATCCACCCCCTTTTTTTTTTCATATGTCTTTACATTTTTCTTTGTTTTATTCTTCATTTTGAACTTATATATATATATATTGCCTTTTATAAAATTTAATGAAAACTAAACAGTTAGTTTAATTAGAATTAAATTAGATTAAGAATGATTAAAAAAATAAATTTATGAAATTAAGGATATTTTGAAAGCTAGAAAATAGAGAATATGTAATGCCTATTATGGCATTTATATCCCGGCAGGATACTCAATTGATCAACAACGATTGTACTCAAATTGTATTTAATATATACAGCTATTTTAAAATCTGAATAGAAAAATATTACTATTGAATAAATTATTTCTCATGTATATTTATATTGTAAGAAAAGCAATTAATCTAAATATCACTTAATGAGTTTTAATTACCTAGTTGAAGTAAAGAAAATCACCTTAAATTTTCCTCACGGATGCCTCCAGGCCCATGATGAAATAAAAAGATCTTAGTTTGAATGAAAAAAATATTTTAACTCGATTGATATATATTGGCAAACAAAAATGTTACTGTCTTTACTGCAAGAAAGAGATAAAAAGTAAGATTTAACTTTAATTTACAGCACAAAATTTATTTTATCTTAACAATTCTATTCCTTAAATGATAATACAATTTATTATAGACTTTTTTCATGAAGACATTATTATTGTTATCATTTAAATGTTCTTTCCGTTTATTAATTAATAATAATTAATAAAATGTATATCAAAATGTATTTTAAAAATTCTTCCATTGTAATTATCTAACATTTGAATAAGTTACACCAATATGCTTTTCATTATACTTATCCCTTGAATCAAGACTCAGATACTTAAAACCTAATAATATGTACTATATTATTAGGTTTTAAGTATCTGAGTCTTAATTTTTCGCCATTATTTTTGTTTTGTTTATATTGAGCGTCTGAGATATTTTCATAAGTTTTATCATAAATTTTGTTTAAATCGGAAAGAATTTCATCCAAGTAATGATCTTTCACTATTCGTTGTACTTGTATATCGGAATTAAAAGCATAAAAAATTAATGACAAATTTCGACCACAATGAATCATATTAGGGGAAAATACTGTTGTACTCTGTTCAGCAACATTATAGAAATTTTTAAGAATTTTTGCTGCATTTGTAAAGTTAATTTCATCTTTCATTAAAGAACTTATAAATGATTTAATGCTAGCGATAATAATTAGCCGCAAGATGTTCATAAGTGGTGTGATTCCTTTTAATTCTCAATGATTTTGAAAAATAATTGAATATTTTTAATATAAATTGGGTATATATAATATATATATATATATAGATATATTCATTCGTAACCACAAACGTTTAATAAATGTACACGAAACATCACATACCATTAGAATAATGAAGACTTACTTGTATTTCAGCGCCATTGATTTAACCGAACTTATTATCGATTGTCATATGAACTCAAATATTTTATCAAACGCAATTAAATCTAAGATAAATAACGATATTAAGTGATCTGTGATCATAGTATGTGCCAAATTGAAATATTTATCCAAATGTCTGATTATCAGTTTGTGATCCATCGGGATAATATGATTCCTTCTGCATCACGACATTTGTATTAAGAAAATTGATTATCTTCGTCCAGACAAATCTGAGACAAAAGTGTCCACAAACGGGATTTCAGAACTTTGAGTGATTATGTAGAAGCAAAATCTTAAGATTTCGAAAGCTAAATCTGTTGACTGATAAGCGTTTTCATTTATCGTGATGTACTAAGCCATGATATATTAAGCAGATCAAAATAAGGAATAGTGATTTGCAAATCAAGTTTTATGATCAAGACTACATTTTTGGCTAATTAATTAGCGAGCTCAATTGAAATGTAATCTGAAACAGATTGAGAAGTATTTCAGATCATGCAGTGAAAATGTAATCTTGAAATTAAATAAACGTCATTGTAAAAGAAAATAAATTCTGTGGTATAAAAGAAAAAATATTAGTATTTTTAAGTTGTAGGGATGCCCTAAGGGGACACAGATCAATCAAAACAAAAAAGTGCAATTTTTATTCGATCATTTTCAAATTTTAACTGAATATAGTCTTAGAAAAAACAATGATTACTTTTAAAGTTATAGCTAAAAGTATGGTTTGTGATTTTTGATAATTAACAAGTTCCTTGAGAACGAATTTTAGTTTCTTTGTAATAAAATGTTTTCGCAAATACGTTGTCAGTGGGTGCTTATGTTATGTTAATAATAAAAACAAAACGTACATAGGCATTAAATTTTTATTTTGTCTCCAAAAATGTCTCTGAATACACTCTTCAATTATGTTTGTTATATTATTAAAAATTAAATTAATCAAATGCATTTAAAATTAAAGAAGAGACATCGAAGAGTATTTTCTTATAACAATAAAACAAAAGTTGATGCAGAAAGAAACATGTTGAATTTAAAAGAACATTGAAAAATTCCATTACGAGAAAAAGCAAATCTTTTAACGAGAACTACATATTGATGTATGGACCATTACAAATTCATAATCTTATAACTCGTTTAGAACAGTTTCGATTTAAGCACGCCTTATTGCATATTACTTAGTAAAGTTTGAATTTCTTTTAATATCTCAGAAACCAAATAATGGATTTTTAAATGATTTTCTCACTCGTAACGTCTAGTATCCCTTTAAGATTATTCCGCTATCTTACATAATGATTTTACTGCCAAAGATTTCGAAAAAGAATAATACTATACTAGAAGCTAACCTAAGCTTTAAGTCTTGTTAACACTACGATATGTAAT